AGCAGCGCCGCATCTAGTGGCTTCAACTGGATAGGCTAACAAACACATTATAATGCAACGACACTTACATCGTCATCGCATCTCGTGCGCTACTGATAAGGCTGCCTCCTTAACGCACACCTAAAATTCGAATGCAATGTTTTTGCATTCGAATGTGGATTTTTATTTTAAATTCGACGAATATTCGAAATTCGAAATTTTTTTTGACAGCCCTAATCCCATGAGCCTTTTATCATTATTAGGATCTTTGCTCTTCACAGTCTGCTACAGAAATCCTCCAGAGACGCATTCTTTTCAATAACATTCTCTTGCACTGAGTCCAGGTCTAAAGATCACTGTTCAGCGCTGCTGGTTATTTCTCACTCCGCGCTCTGTTTTGAATTACTGCCGTTTTCTTATTCCTTTTCATTCTATTCCAAACATCAAATCTTACTCTCCTCTGGTTTTGCTCTTTTATTCTGCCGGTCCCTACAGGTCTCCATGGGACTCGCACTCGAGCCAAATACAAAAGAGTTTTTTGGGCAGACGGAGGGAAAAGCCTCTTGAGGTGCCCACAGACGGGGGCTACAGCTGTACAGAGGCCGCGTAGGGTTGCGGTGCTATGGTGAGAGTGAAAGGGCCGTATTTCAGTTTCACCTGCCATACGCTATTTGGCACAGTGTAGTATCATTGGACTTATTTGTAAGCCTTCCTGTGGACCTGTTGGAAACAGCCATTCAGTGTTCTTGATATGAAGCCTTTAAATTTCACATTTAGTATTGTTTGGAAATGTTTTGTTTTTCTAACGCAGCAGGAAATGTATCAAACACAGAAACGCATATGAGCGTTCACATTATGCTTGTCTCTGAGATGAAGGAATCCTTCCTGCCTCCTCTGTCATACAAAATCACATGCCAAAATGACACAGCTTTAAAATACATTTTAACGCTTTGCTCTTGACAAAAAGAGAACCCTTATTTCCACATATGCAACACGTATGGTGTGAAACTGCATTCTTATTAATTATTCTGGCTGGTTTCCTGCCCTTCGGATTATAATCACACTAAAAAGAGGAAAATATGGGAGAATTAAATAAAAAGAGGTTAATATGTTGGATCAACACTTGGCACAGCTCAACTCTTTTTGTTTCTGTGCCAGTTTTTAGTGGAACAAGGTGTGGAGTTTTGGACTACGATCAAGTATCCATGTGTCCAAAAAAATAAAAAGTTGATTACTGCAGAAATTACTCTACAATATGGTGCTTCAGGACCCAAAAATGAGCCAAAATGAATAATAATTTATTACTATGTTGAATTTTAAGGACATTTTTTTGTTTATTTTTGTATAATTTTGAATAAATTTGTATATTTTTGTATAAATTTGTATAATAATAAATTGATAAACAAGAATGAGTCATATTCAATGCTCATCAAATCTGCATTTATTTGATCAAAAAAACAGGAAAATAGTATTGTGAAATATTATTACAATTTAAAATAACTTATTTATGTGCAGAAACATTTCATATTAATCTAAATGGTTAAAAATGGTTATGCCACTTTTTTCAGTTTATTTTTTATTTTTTTGGTGAGTAGATGTTCCAATGAACAGCATTTATTTGACATAAAAGTCTCTTGTAACATTATAGTCTGTACTGTCACTTTTGATCAATTGAATGCATCTTTTCTGAATAAAATGTCATTCAAAAATTTTGAGAAGTAATATATATATATATATATATATATATATTAGTGCTGTCAAACGATTAATCGCGATTAATCGCATCCAAAATAAAAGTATTTGTTTAGATAATATGTATATACATGTAAATATTTTCAAAATACTGTATGTGTATGTATTTATATGTACATAATAAATATACACAGCACACATAAATATATTATGTAAACAAAAACTTTTATTTTGGATGCGATTAATTGCGATTAATCGCTTGACAGCACTAATATATATATATATATATATATATTCTTATTACCAAATATTCTAATAGGTTTTACATGACTTTTAACCTGAGAGAAAGTAGATAACTTTAGATTTTACTATACTCTGCTGCTCAGTATGGTGCTTCGGGACCCAAAAATGGGCCAAGAGTAATAGTAATGAATTACTATGTTGGATTTTAAGGACATTTTTGTTTATTTTTGTATGATAAACAACTATGGGTCACACTCGAAAGTAAAATCTGGGTCCTGAAGCAAAACCGCTGCTATACCTAATCTGCTGCTTATCACATTTATCACTTATGACTCATTTTACGCTCTCAGTCTCAGATTATTAATCATTTTAAACTGCAGAAAGACAGTTCAGTACGACTCAATAAGCCTGACAAATACGACTCATCTTCATGACACATGATCGAACGGCTGCGTTCGCCAATGTGCGCTATGGAGAGGGCAGGTCACGAATCAAGAACTCATCACATGATTCTACACACATACGCATGGCCTTGTCATGCATTAGAGGTGGATATATAGACAGCGTGCAGATGAATCCATTGGATTTGACATGGGGGTGGGGGTGCTGGTATAGGAGGAGGATAAAAGGGACATGGGGGGATGGGATAGGATGGAGGAGCATCAGGGGAATCCGTTGGGGTGGAGGTCAGCGGTGTCTGTGCCAATAGTTGTTAGAACAAGATAAGGAATTCTAGATCAGGATCAAGAATCTCTTAGTTGCAACACCAGAAAATCAAACAGGCTTATTTTTCATTCTGTTCTATTATACATGAGACAAAAAAAATACTTCTAGATCTACAGCACCTAATTGTGTGCTTGGATCAATGAACAAAGTGGAAATAAAAAAACATTTCCCTATTATGACAGGCAGGATCCCACATGGACGTGTTGCATTGCTTGGATGCAATAACTTCAGACTGCATGACTGCCCTTTGTTGAGAAAAATTGAAGGAGCAGTCATAACAGTAAACTCAACAGGCGCATGATGCGGTGACACATAAATTGCTTAAGAAAACAAGCACTCACTTTGACCTGTTTTCAGCCTGGAGCCACACTTGACAAAAATCTCATAAAAGTATGAGAGAAAGTTACTGTACAAAACACATACATGGATTGGTCATATACTGCAATTAACCGTCTAATGAGAGAACAATGCATGGAATGCTGGGAATGTCTGGCTGGATGAATTCCACAGTTTTTGTTTTGATAGTTTATGCTCCAAAAAGAGTCAAATCATATGCAATACATTTAAAATTTGCAGGTATTCTCTCAGTTACTCTTCAGTTACTCTCCATTAATCTGGTCTAGTTGTCATATACATATATGTATATAAACAACTGGGGTCAGTAAGATTTTTTTTTTTAAGAAATTAATACTTTTATTGAGAAGGGACATGTTAAACGCTGATCTTTTACTGAAAATTTTAGTGATAATAATATGAAATGTTCAGAAGACTAGAGTAATGATGCTGAAAATTTAGCTTTGCCATCACATAAAATACATTTTAAAGTATATTCAAATAGAAAACGGTTACTTTAAATTGCAATAATACTAATATTACTGTTTTATTGTATTTTTGATCAAATAAAAACTAACAAATCTAACTGACCCCAAACATTTGTTTATGTTAGTTTTTATGTATTAAAGGTTTCTAATATGCACAACAACAACAAAAAAATCCAAATTCAACAATTATTCTATAAAGAATAATGGAGCGAAGAGTTTGACAATTTGATTCTAGTTTGGATGCTTTTCTTCTTTGGTCATTTGTTACAAGTGCACAGTACAAACGTCAGTAAAGAAAAAGTGAAAAGTTATTGTTTAAAAAAAAAGTCTCAGAAGTCATTAAACCCAATAAATGCTGATGCATGTGGTCTGGTTTTTGTTTGCTCTTAATATCACTGCTGTTGGCTGCTATTTTCACATGTGTGTCAGTAACGCTACTCACTGCAGTTCTCCTCATCGCTGTTGTCAGAGCAGTCATCATCATCATCGCATCTCCATATGGTGGGAATACATCTCTTATTGTTGCACTGAAACTGTCCATCCTCGCACTCCGTCTCAGCGCCAGTTTCAGTACCTGTGAACGACAGTGAAGAGATTTACAGTCGCCCACGACAGATAACCTGCAACCATCACAATATATCTGTTACTATACTGCACAATAACACAGGACCGAACCGAGCCGCGAATCCAAACACACCGCGTGCTTTGAGCAGCAATTCTATTACTACACGCGCAATTCAATAAAGCCATGACAAAGAAAACAAATCTTTCTCTTTCTTTCAGTGCTGTTTCAGACGAAAATGTTTCTGTGGATAGTGATGCTCATGAAACAATAAACGAATATGCTGCCAAATCATCCACCTTTAATATTCTACTCGTGTTACAAACTAGCTTTTGTTACACTTAATTGAATTAAGTGTTTTTTGTGTGTGTGTGTGTGTGTGTGGGTTTAAAGGCAGAAATGTGGAAACACAAGGCTGCAGTGTGTCTGTAGGATCAGGAGTGTTTAGTCTCTCGCACCCACGAAATATCCAACACAGCATCATTCACTCAGTCCGTTGAAAAAGGCTCCGGGTAATTACATTTCAAAAACAGAATACAACAAACCTTTTGCGGAGTATAATTCCCAAACTAAAACATGAAAAAATAATAATTTCCCAATTTCTGTCCACATCTCGGAAACGGGTTAGAGTGTTCATCCACAAACAAAAGCGCGTCCGGATGGCGTCGCTGCTTCACTGAATCTCCAAAAGATTCTCTGGCAATTTGAATCAATGACGACATCAAACGTAAGCGAGTATGAATAATAACTGCACTGAAGGGTAGCGTGCTACTAAACACCCTTTACTAGAAAACGAGTCAAAACAATACAATAATTGTGGAATTATTAATATTGCAAAGGATTAAATAGCATTTAAAACAAATTCTCCATTATTAATTATTTGTTTTAATTATTCATTTAGTAAGTATGTATTTTATATGAATAAATATTATTATTTATTTTTCTTTTATATATTTATTTATTCGTGATCGGCCTAGAATTTGGATTAAAAATTTGGTGTGCAATTTTCACTCAGAAATTGCTAATAAATTTCACCGTTATTTATGAAGAAAAGGCAAGACAGACATTGAATTACACTCTAAAAAATGCTGGGTTAAATATAACCCAGCGCTGGGTTAAAAAGGGGCAAACCCAGCTATTGGGTTGTTTTGACCCAGCTGTTGGGTTGTTTTGACCCAGCGGTTGGGTTGTTTTGACCCAGCGGTTGGGTTGTTTTGATTGTCCCTTTTTAACCCAGCATTTTTTAGAGTGTAGGCTAAGCATGACATTTTGAAGTACAGTACATAGACTAAAAATAGTAAAAATAGTTAAAACATACTCCAGTGTTACACACAACTTGTGTGTAAATTTCATTGTATTTATTAATTATATTAATTAG